GTCAACTAAGCATACACCCAGTGAAAATGTCTTAATAAGCTGTTGGGTGAAACATGTTCTAAAAGATGAATCTTTTCTAATGTTATGAAGTTGGAGAACTGTTGGCCAATCACAGGTGTCCTAAGTAATGACATCCTGATTTATCTCTGTCTTCGGTGACTTCACATAGTTCTCCTTTCATTTTTAAAGCACATGAGATACGGTGACTGTGGTAGTCAAGTAGGACTATAGGTGAAGAAGGAAAGAAATCTCCCCAGGCATGACACATTAGCCTTTAAGGACCAGGGCAAGCATGGGAGAGCACATAACATTGACCTAAAGCATGCATTCCTCAGTGCCAGATTATGCAGGAAAATGATCAGGGCCAGAGGATCAGACTTAGATGCTAAAAACACAATTCTCATTGATCTAAGTCTCCCTAATGCTGAGATACTCACAATCCACATCCATTGTCTTGACCCATTGGCTTATGAGCTCCTTGAGGACAGGGCCTATGTTAACATTTATTGGATATCCATGTGCCTGGCACAGGCTGGTTTATAACAGGTAGTTAGTAAATATCGATTGAACGAATGAACACATTCATGAAATGAATCAATGAATCTTTTATTATTATTATTATTTTGGCCAGTTATAAATGCTTTTTAAAAATTCACTGGAAACTCTGTTTCCGGAGGTATATGCACTTAGCAACCAAAATTCCCTGGGCACCAACCAGACAGGTGCAGGTGCTGACAGATCAGACTGAACTCCGTCCACAGCAGCTGGTGTCAGCCCAGCTTCATCCCCTGATTCACTCGAGGACTTTAATTCAGTAGAGGTGGGAACCAGGTCAGAGAGCAGCTGAGGCCAGGACTCCAAGGTTTATCAGTACAAGTGGTGAAGGGTTTATCAGAGCTCTCATAGCCCACGCTGTGGTCCATTTGGTCCTCTTCCCACAAAGTCCCACAGTCCCTGTAGGACATGCACTTGCTCTTCTCTGTCATCACCACTTTGCATGAGCCTTATTCACTTCACTTTTCTGCATTTCTTTCTTTTTTTCTTTTTCCTTTTTGTCTTTTTTTTTGTGACTGGTAACGGGATCGCAACCCTCGGTGTCGCGCCCGTACCACGACCGGCAACGGGATCGCAACCCTCGGTGTCGCTCCCGCACCGCGCTCAACCAGTGAGTGGACCAGTCTCTATATGGGATCTGAACCCTCGGCGGGAGCGCCGCCGCACTCCCAAGCACCGCACTCACTGAGTGCGCCACCAGGCCGGCCCACTTTTCTGCATTTCTAATCCCTTCTCTGTGGTTGGAAATGTACAAATTTGTTATTTTCTGATTACTGAAGACACAATCACACATTCCCTCCCATATCAGCCTGTCAGCACAGAAAGGCAATAATAATAATAGTAGTGACCTGTATTTATTGAGTGCTGCTTAGATGCTAAGCAGTGTGCTAGCCCTTTGCATAAAGTATCTGCTAGTGATTCTTTTGCTTAAACATACAGAGAGGAACAGGATGAGTGACAGTCAAGGTAGAATCTAGAAACTCAGTCCTGAAGATGCCAAGATGATAAGCTCTTGGCCAACTA